GTGCAGCCCGGCGACCGCATCACGAGCTACATGAGCCTCTCTGCCGACGGGAGCACGTGGACCGTCTCGGGCACGAATCGAGAGTCGGGGGAGGACTCGACGCTGCACATCGCGCACAGCCGCGCGGGCAGGGCCGACTACGACTACGCCATGCTGGTGAATGAGAATATCAACGTGGACGAGCGATGCGACCGCATGCCCGCGGCTCCAAGCCTCACGTTCACCAACGTGACGGTGAACGGTCACGCGAAGCCCGCCTGGGCCACACGTGCCGATTGTCATGGGAGCCCTCGGTGCGACTGCGGCAACGCTGCGAGCATCGGCGCCAACGGCGACGTGACGCTGAGCTGGAGTACCGACCCTCGCAGCAGGCCGTCTCGTAGAGCCAGCCGGTGAGCTGCCGCGTCTCATCGTTGCACGTTGGCCGTCCCGCCACGGTGGAGAACTTCCCTTTCTCCCGGCCCGGGGTGGGGCGAGCCTGCGCGGGGGCGGCGGGTGTATCTGTATGCGGGATGTCTGTGGGCCCGAGAGCGATGTGCGTGTGTCCGCCTTGCGTTTGTTTCATAACATCGAAGGCTAGCTCAAAAAGAATTTGAAATAATTATTATTGCAGAGTCTGAGCGGGCGTCGATGGGGCGGGGGCGGCCGCGCTGCCCACAAAGTCGAGTGGGCAGGAGACTGCACAGTGACACAAAACGCCAGGCGGCTGACTGTGTACTTACTACTCTAGGCGCTCGGGGCCGCGGTTTCGGCGGGTGTGCGGCCGCGAAGGCGGGAGAGGACACGCCGGAGAGGGTTCTTGCGGGCGCGCGAGGCTCCCTCACTCGGATCGCGATCCTCCTCAACCGCCGCCTCGTCGTGAGCAGCGGCCGCCGCCGTTGAGCTGTCATCGGGCGCGATTGAGGTGGGCTCGGCCGGCAGCACCAGCGCAGCGATGAATGTAGCGGCGAGCAGCACGACTGGAAGGCCGACACCCGGCGGCGGCTTTGGCGCAGCGGTGGCCTTGGCGAACAGGAGGAGCGAGGCGCAGGAGACGACAGCGAGCGGCGCAAACTCGCCGATGCCGCCGGCAGCGCCGCTGGAGGGGGCCAGGGAAGGCGATGGCGGCGATGGCGGTATCGCGACAGGCACGCGGCCACGCAGGAGGTCGTCATTTTGCGGTCCAGTAGTGGGTCGAACGGCCTTCGTTTTGACCGGCGTCGCCCGTTTCTTTGCCGCCGCTGCCGCCGCCTTCTTCGCCGCCGCCGCGGCCGCCCGTTTCTTCGCCGCCGCCGCGGCCGCCCGTTTCTTCGTCGCCGCCGCGGCCGCCCGTTTCTTCGCCGCCGCTGCTGCCGCCCGTTTCTTCGCCGCTGCAAGCGTCGATGCTCGCCTTTGTGCGTCAGCCTGGCGTCTTTCGACCGTTCTCTTCTTGGTGTCTTCGCGTTGCTTTGATACCTGACTCGGTGAACGCTGGTAGAGCAAAAGTGGGTGCGGCTGGCGAAGCAGCGATGCGGTTGGGGCGCCGACATTAAGAGGTAAATGCAGCGCCGCCGAACCAGCGAGCGAGGCCAGGAGCAAGCTGCCGCACCACATCGAAGTCGTAATGATATCGCGAAAATAAAAAAGCCCCGCCGGCCTCCCTTGGGGAGTTGGGAGCCCACCGTGCACCGCGCTGCGAGCCTGTCGTGTCCCTTGTCAGGAGCAGGAGAGCCCCACCTGTCCCCCTGATCGTCCTTCCAAAATCCTGCTCGTGCAGGTGGGCGTCTGGGGACCCTGTGGTCCTCCTCCCCCATCCCTCACTTGGGGTCTCGATGCCCAGAACTTAGACTACTCCCCCCAACCCCAGAGCCCAGAGCCCAGTGCTGGATTGAGATTTGAGGAGTGGCCGTGCGACGCTTCCGTACATCTTTTCTGTGTACGTACACGTGTGTGTGTGTGCCCCCCGACAGCGACACTCGGAGACTGAATGATACTCGGAGAACGGGCGACCTACGGCTTTGCCTCATCCTCTATGCTCCACATGTGCATGCACATGCACATGCACATGTGCATGCACATGTGCATGTGCATGCACATGTGCATGTGCATGTGCATGTTGTGCATGTGTCGACCCGCGATACCTCACTGCCCCGCCCCCGGCTCGAGCCCCGGCGCCCACACCTCGACCTTCTTGGGCAGCAGCTGGTTCGACAGGTCCTCCCCGTGTCCTAGGCAGCCGTCGTCGCCTTTGCCCCAGGTAAAGAAGGCGCCGTCGGCTGTGATGGCGATGCTGTGGCGGGTTCCAGCCGACACAATGATGACGCGCTGGTCAGCAAAGGCCTCGACCTTCTTCGGCAGCAGCTGGCTCTGCTCGTCGCCGTGGCCCAGCTGGCCATAGTGTCCATCGCCCCAGCTCCAGACGGCGCTGTCGGCGGTGAGGGCGAGGCTGTGTTCGTCTCCAGCCGACACGGCGACGACGCGCTGGCCAGCAAAGGCCTCGACCTTCTTGGGCAGCAGCTGGCCCAGCTGGTCGCCGTGGCCCAGCTTGCCGTTGGATCCACCGCCCCAGCTCCAGACGGCGCCGTCGGCGGTGAGGGCGAGGCTGTAGGTTCCTCCAGCTGAGACAGCGACGACGCGCTGGCCAGCAAAGGCCTCGACTTTCTTGGGCAGCAGCTGGTTCTGCCGGTCGCCGTGGCCCAGCTGGCCAAGGAGTCCAAAGCCCCAGCTCCAGACGCTGCCGTCGGCGGTGAGGGCGAGGCTGTGGTTGCCTGCAGCCGACACAGCGACGACGCGCCGCCCAGCTAAGGCCTCGACCTCCTTGGGCAGCAGCTGGTCCTGCTCGTCGCCGTGGCCCAGCTTGCCCCAGCTTCCACCGCCCCAGCTCCAGACGGCTCCGTCGGCGGTGAGGGCGAGGCTGTGGCACTGCGCTGCTGACACGGCGACGACGCGCTGGTCAGCAAAGGCCTCGACCTGCTTCGGCAGCAGCTGGTTCTGCGTGTCGCCGTGGCCCAACCGGCCCCAGAGACCGAAGCCCCAGCTCCAGACGCTGCCGACGGCGGTGAGGGCGAGGCCGTGGCCATCTCCAGCTGACACGCTCACAGCGCGCTCACCGCCCAGCGTCAACGGGAAGCGGGTCGGCGTGTTGAGCCGCGTCACGCCCTCGCCGTGACCGAGGAGCTCTTGAGCCGTTCCACACGACGAGAGCCGCCCCTCGCCGTCGATGAAGAGGCTGTGCTGCTCGCCTGCCGCCGCCCTCGCCGGCGGGTTGGACTCGCACAGCAGTGCCACAAAGCACAGCCACCGCACGGCGCAGCTCTCGCCCTCGGGCTGCGCCGGCAGCTCGAAGCCGCGCTCTTGCGCCCACAAGCGGATGCCCTCCGCCGCAAGCGAGGCGTGGAAGAGCGGCGAGACGGCCGCGACGCGAGCGATGTCGAGGGGGCCGTCGAGGCGAGAGATGGCGCGCAAGAGGAGCTCCGTGGGGAGGTCGAGGAGGCGGGTGGGCGGCGGCGTGTCTGGCGAGGGGGCGGCGGAGGAGGCGGGGGCGAGGCGGCGCGAGCGGCGGCGCGGCGGGCGCGGCGGGTTCGACATCGCGAGAAAAAGAAATCGCCCGGCCACACCACTTAAAATCCCTGTGTGGTGGCGGCGTGCCGTCCTCCCATCCCTCCCTTGGGTTGTCTGTTTTCTTTCTTTCTTTCTTACTTAAAATCCCTGTGTGGTGGCGGCGTGCCGTCCTCCCATCCCTCCCTTGGATTGTCCGTTTTCTTTCTTTCTTTTAGAGAGAGATTTTGAGAGAGAGAGAGAGAGATTTGTTGTTGTTTGAGATTTTTAGAAGCCAACAAGAAATGTGTCTCTCTCTCTCTTTTACGGCCACACCGGAAAAAAAAGAGACCACACCCACCACACCGGAATAGGTGACTGTGATCACGCCGGACGACACACCGGAGCGGCCGCGCTCTTTCCTCGGCGTACCGATCACCTACCTGCGCGGCTTCCGCCTTCTCTTCTCTACAAGGTAGCAGGCGTCACTGCACTCGCGCCACCGCCACTGTCTGACCCTCACCACTTAAAATCCCTGTGTGGTGGCGGCGTGCCGTCCTCCCATCCCTCCCTTGGATTGTCCGTTTTCTTTCTTTCTTTTACGGCCACACCGGAAAAAAAGAGACCACACCCACCACACCGGAATAGGTGACTGTGATCACGCCGGACGACACACCGGAGCGGCCGCGCTCTTTCCTCGGCGTACCGATCACCTACCTGCGCGGCTTCCGCCTTCTCTTCTACAAGCAGGCGTCAGAGCAGGCGCACATCGCTTCCAGGGAGGGAGAGCTGTGAATAGGCCAAGCCTCCTCCACGTCTCTGCCCCCGGCGTCCTCGCCCTGCCCGCCATCCTGTGGGGGCGGCGGGTGTGCGGCGGGTGTGCGGGATGTCTGTGGGCCCGAGAGCGATATGCCATGTCCGCCTTGCGTTTGTTCATAACATCGAAGGCGAATTCCTAGGAAGCCGCTGGATATAACTGGGGCCCCGGACGTAAGTGGGGCGGGCCCGGGCGGGGCCGGTTCGGGCCCGGCAGGGGCACCGGCGGGCCCCGGCCCCGGGTCAAAAGTGGCTGCTCCCGGCCGCCGAGCGTGCTTTTGCCGGGCCGGTTTTCTCCTCGCCGGGCCCACCTCGCGCAAAACGGGCCCGGCAAACCCTCCTGCCCGGGCCCGGCTGTGAGTGAGCCTGCGGGCCGTCCTATGTGCCGCAGACGGGCCCGGGCAGGACGGTTTGCCGGGCCGGTTTTCTCCTCGCCGGGCCCGCCTCGCTCCTCGACCTGCTGATTTGGGCGCTTTGGCCCGGGAGTGTGGCAAGCCGGGCCCGGCAAAGCGCGCGCGGGCCGGGCCGGGAGGGGCAAGCCGGGCCCGGCAGGGCGCGCGGGCCTTGCAAATCGACCCGTTTCCCATCCAATATCTCCCACTCGGCCGCGGAGGCCCCAACTGAGAGCGGGGCCCGGGGGAGGGAGTCCCTACTGGTCGTGCCCACCCCTCGCACGACCCCAGGCGACAGCGGGGACCCCGCAGCAGCATGGCGGCCCCCCTCTTTCCGGCGGCTTCCTGAACGTTTGAGCTCGCCCGAGCAAAATGTCCGGCAGGAGCCACAGCGGCCGAGATCAGGCTCCGCGCACCGACTTCTGCCGCCTCCAGGAGCTCGACGCCGTTCTCTCCGAGGACGTCGAGCGGAGGACGATCAACATGGGCGGTTTGCGCACGGTCGACCTCGGCCACGGGCGCAGCAAGCCGGCCGAAACAGTGCGGCTTGGTGACAAGATGGGAATGGCAGCCCAGGCCAACGACCTCGTCAAGGTGCAGCGCCTGATCAAAAGAGGTGTCTCGGTCAACGCCCGCAACTCGACCTCGGGCGTCACCCCGCTCGGCGTCGCGGCGGTGTGTCTTGCCCACCCCGCCACGCCGAGGCCCGCCCTTTTCGGAAGCCTGTGCCCGCGCCTGGTAGGAGCGCGGTCACGACGACATGGTCAAGGTGCTTCTCGGCGCGAGGGCGAACCTTGACGACACGACGCGCGAGGGGATGACGCCGCTGCACATCTGCTGCCAGTTCGGGCGCGCAGACACGGTGTGTGGTGATCGCGGCTCGCCCTCGCTCCCTCGCTCCCTCGCTCTCTTGCTCGCTCTCTCGCCAATCCTAGAGTCCCGCGGCGTCAGTCGCCCGTTCCACTCCAAGACACCGAGGCCCGCGCGCCGCCTGCCCGCCGGCCGCCGACTGCGGTCATCACAAAGCGTGCGGTGTCAGGCATCTACCCGTGACCTGACCCCTGACCCTGACCCTGACCCTGACCCTGGCCCTGGCCCTGACCCTGACCCTAACCCTGACCCTAACCCTCACCCTCACCCTCACCCTAACCCTAGCCCTAACCCCTAGCCCTAACGGTGCCAGGTGCGGCTTCTCGCGGCGGCGGGGGCCAACGTCAACTCGGTGGCTCGCAACTTGCCGCCCGGCCACAGCTGTGAACGGCGTCTCTTCACACCTCACGCTGTGACCAGGTGGCTCGCAACTTGCCGCCCGGCCACGAGCAGACCTCCTCCACACCGCTCATGTCGGCAGCTGGCCGGCTTTCCGTGCCGACAGTGAAGGTCCGTCCGTCCGTCCGTCCGTCAGTCAGTCAGTGATGGCACACACGTGAAGCACCGACCTCTCGCTCCCCCCCCCCCCCCCTTCTTGCACCGCCGCCGCCGCCGCCGCCGCCGCCGCCGCCGCCGCCGCCGCCGCCGCCGCCGCCCGCCACCGCCCGTCGCCGCCCGCCACCGCCCGTCGCCGCCCGTCGCCGCTGGCGGCCACCCCGCCGCCGCCGCCGCCGCTGCATCGGTTGCATCGGCTGCATCGGCTGCATCTGCTGCATCGGCTGCATCTGCAGCGGCTCCTCACGCCGCGCCCTTCGCCCACGCGCCTCCTCAGGCCCTCCTCGAGGCTAATCTCGGGTAATCTCGGGTAATCTCGGGTAATCTCGGGTAATCTCGCACCTCCTCAGGCCCTCCTCGAGGCTAATCTCGGGTACTCTCGGGTAATCTCGGGTAATCTCGCACCTCCTCAGGCCCTCCTCGAGGCGCGGGCCGACGTCAACTTCCGCCCGCGCCCCGCCCGAGGCTGCACCGCCCTCCACCTCGCCTGCCGGCTGGGCGCGCTCGACGTGCTGCAGGCGCTGCCCCGCCCCCGAGTCGTGCCCCGAGTCGCGCCCTCCCCGCGCCTCCCCGCTTCGCACTCCCGCCCGCGCCACCAGCCCCAGGCTCGGCCCAGAGCCGCCCCGACGGCCCAGAGCCGCCCCGCCACGACTCTTCAGCTTCGCCCCACTTCCCCAGAGTCAGCCCAGAGTCGCCACGAGTCGGCCCCGAGTCTCGCCCAGAGTCAGCCCCGAGTCGGCCCCGAGTCGCGGAGGCTGTCCGGACGTGCTGCAGGCGCTTCTCGACAGCGGCTGCGCGAACACGGGCATCCGCAACCGAGAGGGCGAGCCGCCGTAGACAGAACAGAGAGGCGAGATGTGTTTTACCGACGATGGGGACAGACCGGCGGCGGTGCGGGTGGGGGGGGCGGAGGAGAGAGGGTGACGGCACGATGGAGGGACACAGAGACCACACGCGCAGAGCACAAGACACTCAGCCAGCGGGCACTCCCTCTGTTTCGATGTGGGGCCCCTGTCCTTGCACCTCTCGTCGGAAAATGGGGGGGGGGGGGGGGGGCTCCGAGACGCTTGTGATGAGCGGTGTGCCTTTGTCTCAAGGCGAGACGCCCCTCGAGATCTCCCACAATCTCCCACAATCTCCCACAATCTCAAGGCGAGACGCCCCTCGAGATCTCCCACAATCTCCCACAATCTCCCACAATCTCCCACAATCTCCCACAATCTCCCACAATCTCAAGGCGAGACGCCCCGCGAGACGGCGATCGTGTGGAGCTTCTCGCGCCGGCACCTCAAGTGCGCGCTGCTGCTGCGCGAGCACGAGGCGGAGGACGCGCCGCCCCCGCTCTCCGACAAGTCCGACAGGTAGATCGCCCGCAATCTGCCACGATCTCCCACAATCTCCCACAATCTGGCGCAGTCTCACACAGACCTCCGACAAGCCCGACAGGTACATCGCCCGCAATCTGCCACGATCTCCCACAATCTCCCACAATCTGACGCAGTCTCACACAGACCTCCGACAAGCCCGACAGGTACATCGCCCGCAATCTGCCACGATCTCCCACAATCTCCCACAATCTGACGCAGTCTCACACAGACCTCCGACAAGCCCGACAGGTACATCGCCCGCAATCTGCCACGATCTCCCACAATCTCCCACAATCTGACGCAGTCTCACACAGACCTCCGACAAGCCCGACAGGTACATCGCCCGCAATCTGCCACGATCTCCCACAATCTCCCACAATCTGACGCAGTCTCACACAGACCTCCGACAAGCCCGACAGGTACATCGCCCGCAATCTGCCACGATCTCCCACAATCTCCCACAATCTGACGCAGTCTCACACAGACCTCCGACAAGCCCGACAGGTACATCGCCCGCAATCTGCCACGATCTCCCACAATCTCCCACAATCTGACGCAGTCTCACACAGACCTCCGACAAGCCCGACAGGTACATCGCCCGCAATCTGCCACGATCTCCCACAATCTCCCACAATCTGACGCAGTCTCACACAGACCTCCGACAAGCCCGACAGGTACATCGCCCGCAATCTGCCACGATCTCCCACAATCTCCCACAATCTGACGCAGTCTCACACAGACCTCCGACAAGCCCGCCAGGTACATCGCCGCGGCGATGGCGCGGCTGGCGGCGGCGGTGGAGTCAAACAGGGCCGACCTCGTCGACAGCGAGGAGGGTGGCGGCGAGGGAGCCAAGCTGGCGCTTCCGTCGGAGCTGGAGACTGCGTGCATGCGCCCACTTCGAGTCGAGCGGCGGCACTCCTCGTAGGCCCTTCCGTCGGAGCGGCGATCTCGGGTAATCTCGGGTAATCTCGGGTAATCATGCACTCCTCCCCTCGTAGGCCCTTCCGTCGGAGCTGCGATCTCGGGTAATCTCGGGTAATCTCGGGTAATCATGCACTCCTCCCCTCGTAGGCCCTTCCGTCGGAGCTGCTCTCTGCGTACATGCGCGCCGGCTCCGCGCTCGGTGACGTCGGTATGATCAAGAACCTCGCCGCGGCGCCGACCAGCCTCGCTTGCGTACCGGAAGGGTGCGGGCAGCGTGAGCTCTTCACGCCGTGTGAGCTGTGAACAGGCGCAGCCCGACCTCGTCAGCGTGATGACTCAGTGCTCTTCATCCATTGAGCCGGTGTCGTTCGTAGGCGCAGCCCGACCTCGTCAACGTGCCCGACGCGACGGGGCGCACGGCGCTGCACGCCGCATGCGAGAATGGGCACGTCGGCATCGCCGCGGCGCTGCTGGGGAACGGCGCGTATGTCGACGCGCAGCGGAAGGACGGGCAGACCCCGCTGCATGTCGTTTGCGCAGGTGAAGCTCCGTGGGGATGCTTCGGTCGCACGACTGCCCCCCCTCCCCCTGGGAGCCCCCCAGAGCCGCCCTCGCCGACGCCCCCCCCCCCCCCCCTCCCCCTTCCCCCACGGCAGGCGGCCACCCGCTGCTCGTGCAGCTGCTCCTCCGGCACGGCGCCAGCCAGAGCATCCCGGACGAGGCCGGGAAGGTGGCGCGGGACGTCGCAACACCCGAGGCGGCCGCGGCGTTGCCACCGTCGCTGCCGGAGCTAGGCATCTTGTGATAGTGCGCAACCCCACGAGGACGACCTGATTCGTTGTGTGCATCTACGAGTAAGGCAATGGTGTACTGACGTAGTTACCGCTCTACGTAAAGCCACGGTGTAGACTACAAGTTGTAGTTGTGAGTCTGTAGCGGCTCTGTACAGTCCACACATAACTACTCAAGCTCAAGCGGATACACAGGGCGGGGACGAAGGCGGATCCGAACGCGATAACACCCCAGCACTCGCTACTGAAAGATTTCGTAGCCTCTAGCCTTCTCCGTGTCCCGGGAGCACATGCGAGGGGGCGGGGGGCGGGTGTAACTGTAAGCGCGCCGAGACGAGCCGCCGCCACAGCAGCCAGCAGCAGCGTCCCACAGTCTGTGAGGGGCCCACACCGGCGCCCACACTGGTGTCTGAGTACTGAGAGATGCTCGGTCGCACTCTATGGCATTGGCCATGCCACTTCCTCACGCCACCGCCCACCCTTCGTACGACTGTGTGAGCAGCTCCCGGCGGGGCCTCGAGGGACTGCACGCGCGCCCGCGCGGCGCAGGGGCCCAGCCCATAGCCACGACCGTTCACAAGAGAACGCACCCCAGAGTACGAGAGACCCTTCCCCATGGCTGCCACTGCGCCAGCTGTCCTTGCGCGCGGGCTAGGCCGCCTCCCGCGCCCTGGCCCTCGCAGCGGCACCTGACGCGCGCCTCGCCTTGGCTGCGGCGAGCGCCGCCTCTGCCGCCGCCGCTGCTGCCTCGGCCGCCGCTACTGCCGCCTCCTCCGCCTCCTCCTCCTCTGCGGCAGCCTCCTCCTCCTTTGCCGCTGCCACAGCCGCCGCCTCCGCCTCAGCCTGCCGGCGCGCCTCCGCTGCCGCCTCCGCTGCCGCTTCCGCTGCCGCCTCCGCTGCCGCCTCCGCCGTCTCCTCGTCGCCCTCCTCCTCGCTCGCCTCGTCCGCCGCCTCTCCCAGCGCCTCCGCCAGCCCCTCGACCGACGTCTCCGCCGTGATGCCGAACCGCATCCTCTCCTCGTGACACTTCTCGAGAAGCAGGAGAAGCCTCGCCTCCTCGGCCTTCTTCGCCGCCTCGGCTGCGTCTGCCTCCGACGGCGCCTCGGCACCCTCCTCGGCCTCCTGCGACGACCCCGCCCCGCCCGCCGCGCCGCCCTTCTTCTTCTTCTTCTTGCCCTTCTTGCCCTTGGCGCGCTTCTCCGCCTCGACCTCCGCCAGCAGCTCCTCGGCGTGCCGCGCCGCCTCCTTCTCCTCCGCCGCCCTCTGCGCCGCCCTCTCCGCCGCTCCCGCGGCCCACGCCGCCTCCGCCGCCGCCTTCTCCGCCGCCTTCTCCGCCGCCGCATGCTCCTCGAGGGCGCGCACGCACTCGGTGTGGCCCTCCTGCTTGGCCCACTGCAGCGCGGTGTTGCCGTGAGCGTGCAGCGTCGCGTCTGCGCCTGCCCGCAGCAGCTGGCGCACGACGGCGGGACGGCCTTGGTAGGCGGCGAGAATCAGCGCGGTGTCGCCGTCGTTGGTCTGCAGGTCGATCGCCGCGCCGTGCCGAATCAGCGTGTCGACCGCTTTCTCTTCGCCGCTGCCGGCGGCGCCCATCAGCGCGGTGTTGTCGAGAGCAGTTTGCTGGTTGATCTCCGCGCCGTGCCGCAACGCCAACTCGACCACCTTCTCGAAGCCATTCACGGCGGCGAGATTCAGCGCTGTGGCGCCTTTGATGTTCTGCAACGAGACATCCGCACCGCGCTGGAGCAGCGCCTCGGCCAGCCCATCGTGGCCACAGGCCATTGCGACCATCAGCAGCGTCACGCCGCTCACAGGGCCGCCCGAAAAGACGAACTGGAACCTCGCGTTGACCCGCCCGCCGCCGTCGAGCCACGCCAGCACCACCGCCTCCTCGCCGTCCTCAGCCGCGTCCACAACCTCCTCTGGCACCGCCCCGCTGCTCGGCTCCGCCTCCTTGCCACCCTCGCCGCTCGAAGCAGAGGCCGCGGCACTCGCACCCATCGCCGCGCCTGCGCCGCCTGCCGGCGGTGCCTTGCTCCGGCTCGCCGTCACCCCCCTGAGATACGTCCTGAAGGCCTCGACGCACTCAGCGTGGCCCTCCTCCTTGGCCCACTGCAGCGCCGTCTTGCCCTCCGAATCGCGCAACGTCATGTCTGCGCCAGCCCGCAGCAAGCGGAGCACGACGGTGGGGCAGTTGAAGCAGGCGGCGCCCATCAGCGCGGTGGCGCCGTGCTTGCGTTCCTGCAGGTTGACTCCTGCGCCGTGCCGCAGCAGCATCTCGGCCACCTGCTCGTAGCCCCAGCGGGCGGCGGCCATCAGCGCTGTACAGTCTTTGCCATCGCGCGCGTCCGTCTCCGCGCCGCGCTTCAGCAGCAGTTCGACCAGCTTCTTGTGACCGTGGGCGGCGGCGATCAGCAGGAGCGTACGGCCACTCACACCGCGATTCACGCACGTCGCGTCAACCCGCCCATCCCCGGTGAGCCACGTCTGCACCACGCCGACCTTGCCGTTCTCCGCCGCCGCTTCGATTCTTGTCGGCAGCGCGAGCGGCGCAGCAGTAGCCGCCGCTGAAGCGTGCCCGCGCCGGGAGGCGGCTGAGCCAGCCTTCGTCCGTCCGGGCATACAACAGGGCGTTGCGGTCGCGATGCTGACCAGCTCTCCTCCCGCGCGCGCTCGGAAAAAAGATTACAAAAAACGCCGATCTGAGCCTCCATCGCCCGCATCCCAAAACCGCCGTTCACGCCCTCGGACACGTCCCTCCCGTCCATGAGTACCGGCACAAACCACGCAGTTGCGAGTTAGGCGGCGGCGCGGCGCGCCTCACGCCCTCGCGCTCAGGATGCGGGTGCCCCACCGCGTCAGCGCGCGCTTGGAGAGGTGCTGGCACTGGTGGTAGGCGGAGCGGCACGAGTGCGCGAGGCCGATTGCGACGAGGACGCGCGCGAAACGCATCCTGTTGGTGGCGAACATGGTGAGCAGGCCGATGATCCACGAGTTGGGGACACGTGCCTGCTCGGAGGGCGGGGCGGGGCGGGGGGGGGGGGGGGGCTTTCGCGAGATACTGCGAGAAGATAGACGTGACGAAGGATAAGGTAAAGTAAGGTAAATTTCTCCACACACACAAGTGGTGGGGCAAGGGGGGGCGACCCTCGCATCTCCACACCCGGACACGGGCAGGAGCCCCACGGCATTCAAAGGGAACTAGCGTGGAACTTTGGATGCATATCGGCAAGCCAAAATAACGAGCCACAGAGGCAGTCCTGGTGCGTGAGCTAATCTCCCCTGGGCAACAATATAAGCGACTGTACCACGGAGCACAGAGCGCAGCAGACAGGACGGCGGCAACGGCGGATATGGCAGAGACGAGTGTGGAACAAAGGGCGGCGGGGATGGAGGGCGGTGGCGACGAGGACAGTGACGGTGACGATGGCGAGGGTGGAGGGAGGGGAAGGGGGTCCATTAACACCAGACAGCGAGAGGGGCAGGGAGGAAAGGGGGAGAGAGGAAGCCAACGCGACGTGCGCAGAGGATGAGGATATAAACTGGGGCGACGCAGCGGAGGGGATAGGCGAGGGAATCGAGGGGCCGGAGGGCTTTCGCGACAGCGACGATGACGACAAAGAAAGGGGGGGAGACGGAGGGGCGACACGCAGGAGGAGCGAAATCGCGAACGGCCCGAGCAGAGAGGGCGACGGCGGAGCACGAGGGGGCAACGGAGACGCTACCGATGACGCGAACCGACCGAGGCACGGGCGACGGCGGGGACGGGGAGGGCGACAGCGACGTCGAGGTTGACGCAACCGTATCGAGAGCGCCACCCAAAAGGAGGCGGACAGCCACAGAGGTCACCGAATGGAGGGCGAACGGCACGATAGGCAGGCGAGGCGGATGGAGAAAGGAGTGCCGAGAAGGCCATGGTGGAGGGGAGGGACGGGAGGACGAAAGAAGGGCGAGGAGGACGAGCGGCCCGCACAGACCGCGAGCAGACAGCGCCTGTGCTGTCCATATCGAGACATTCGCAAAGAACGAGGATGCAGTGACGTGACACACACACACACACACACACACACACACACACACACACACACACACACACACACACACACACACACACACACACACACACACACACACACACACACACACACACACACACACACACACACACCGCTCACCCACGCACACTGGGCCTTGCACTTTGAATGCCGAGGGGCTCCTGTCGTCAGACGTGGAGACGCGAGGGTTGCCCCCCCCTTGCCCCACCACCTCGTGTGTGTGGAGAAGTTTACCTTACCTTACCTTGCCTTAAGCGGTGTATATTTTGCCAACTACAAGGCGTGTTTGTATCTAGTAAGTGTGTTAGTGCTCTTCCGATTCACTCTCCCCAATGAATGAGGTAAGGTGTAGGTAAGGTAAATTTCTCCACACACATAAAGTGGTCAGGTAGGGTTAAGTGGCCGTTGGCAAGGGGGCGGGGGCGACCCTCTCGCATCATTCTGATTCTCCACACCCGGACACGGGCAGGAGCCCCACGGCATTAGGTACTCCACGTGATTCGGATGCCTTGGCTTGTTCGAGCGGTGCCCATTCATGCGCTCGTCGCAAAGCCATACGGCGGCCTGCAGCTTTGAGGTCGCTTCCAAAGCTCGAACAGACCCGCTGCGGAGCTCGTAGTGCCGCACAACTATCTTTTCAGGGCCCTGCGCATTGTATTCTGTGCAGCTGAGGCCTGCGTCTTTTACAACACCGTAGCACCGTAGATCGGCCACACACGCCTTCCAAGCATCGGTAATGGAGATGTAGCGGTAATCGCACCGCGAACCCGGCAGGAGACCCTCGAGGTTGATCCGATTCAGACTGGAGGGCGGCATTCTTGGGCACCCGTTTTCATACCTGACATCCATGGTGGTCGTGTTTCGCTGTTGAATCGGAAGCGCTGCCTCATTTCGAGGGTGCGAAGGCTTGTGATCGCTTCGTCTGACATCAGCGGCCACGGGCAACAACGCGAGAAGCACTCGCTGCATGTATGCGTCTCCGCTCCCTCCCGCCAAGTTTGGGCTTTTTGCGTAGGTGCCGTCGCAGAGCGGCTGCCCCACCGGAGGAGCAGTACAGGCTGTTGTCGCAGATCGTGCCCGCGGCCTCGCCGCGACCCGCCAGCAGGAGGAGCGCGAGCGGGACGAGGCGCGGCGCCGAGGAGGAGCAAACCGCCGCCAGCAGCACAAGAGCGAGTGAGTTTGCCAGCGTCATGGATGGATGGCCGGAGAGCGCGTGTTTTGCACCGATGCGGGAGGATGCGGGTGCGGTCGAGGCCGAGGACTCACCAGAGGCCTGCATGTTGGCGCTGTTGCGCGGAAGTGAGCCGCCGAGTGAGAGCGTCTTAGGATTGCTCGGTTGCTTTCTTTTTCCGAACTTCAGAACTTGTGTGACCGTCACCGCCCGTCCCGCGTCCACCCATACCGCGTTGGTGTCCCAGTCGTTGGTCGGACTGTGTTTCGCCTTCCTATCTATCTATCTAGAGCCTGAAATCTCAGGGGCAACTGGTCAGAGTGTCCTTCACCACACATACACACATAGAGCTGCAAGTCCGTGTGACGGTGTGGACGGCGTCGATGGACGGGGTGGGGCGGGAGACAGTACTGAGTACAAGCAGACAGTATCCGACGACAGCTGCGCGCTGTGCTCTTGCTCTGGGAGGGTCATGAATAGTCGACAAAGGCATGAGTAGTCAACAAAGTTCAGGCCCGGGGAGCGCATGGGTGTCATAATCAACGGGTGCGCCCGAGGAGGCGTCACCGTTTGTGGTTTGAGATAGGTCGTTATTGGCGGTGCTAGCGTCCGCGTCACACATTCGCCGCTTCTGGTGTGCCGCCCTGCTTGATCGTGGCCATCGATGGCTCATCAGCGCGGCGCTTCTTCTTGTAGTAAACGTAGCCACCGCCGAGGGCAGCCACGACGGCCACCCCAGCCGCGGCCGCTGCAATGGCGACCACAGGGGAGCCGCCGCTGCCGCTAGCGGTTGGCTTCGGGTCTTCTTCGACCTCAACCACGACGGCAGTTTCGACGGACGCCCCCACCCCAGCAAGGATAGGTCCCATCTGCTCCTCGAACGCGTCCTCGCCAGCGGCCCCGGAGTACTGTTCGAGGTTGCTCTGAGCCAAGCTGACTTCCGATTGCGTGACCACCGGGAACGTGGCAATCACGGCCACGTTTGCGCAAGTGCCCATAGAGCAAGGTGCAGAATAGACTCCGATCGTCGAATCGAGCGGCACGAAGGCAAAGCCGGCCAGTTCGGCGAGCTTCTCGAGGATGTTCCTCTTGGTGGCCTCGTCGTAGAAGTCGTACAGATCGCCGCGGGTTGCGGTGAATGAAGCGACGACCCGGAACGAGCCTGGCTCTTCTGACTGTGGCGACGGCGACACGGCGGGTGGCGGCGACGGGGGCGGCGATGGCGACGCGGAAGGTGGTGGCGGCGACGGCGACGCGGAAGGTGGTGGCGGCGACGGTGATGCCGAAGATGTCAGCGTCAGATCGTTGTTCGTCCAGCCGTCGCAGTACATCGACCAGGTCGCCGTGCCGAGCGGCGGCGAGGAGGAGTCGGCAGAAGAGATGCTAGCCCAGTAGATGCGGCTCCCGTCGCCATCGAGGTCGCTCGCTGCGGTGGTGCTCGGTGCATCATCGTCCACGATCCAGCGGGCTGTCGATCCGTCGCCGTCGGGGTCGGGGTCCCAGTAGATGTAGTACGATGACGAGAAATCGCGATAGTATGGCGCCCCCGAGGCCGTGTAGCCGACTGCGTTGTACTCCACGTTGGCAAGGAGAGGACTGCATCCCCCAGTGACAACAAAAGGCGGAGGGGGCGGCGGCGGAGGGGGAGGTGATGGAGATGGCGCTGAGAGTGTCAGGTCTATCTGTGCCCAGGAGCCGTCGCAAAGCACCGTCCAGGTGTTCGTGCCGCGCGGCGGCGAGGAGGAGTCGGCAGAGTTGATGCGGGCCTTGTAGCTGCAGCTCCCGTCGCCATCGAGGTCGCTCGATGCGGTGGTGCTCGGTGCATCGCTGTCCACGATCCAACGAGCAGATCCCGATCCGTCGCCGTAGCAGTCGGGGTCCCAGAAGATGTAGTATTCGGACGATGGGTGACGGTAGTACGGAGCGCCCGATGCAGTGAACCCGGCGGCGTAATACTCCATGTCATCGAGATTGGGGGAGCAGCCTCCGCCACCGGCGACCACGAGAGGAGGCGGAAGCGGAGACGGGAGCGGCGGAGACGGCGGCCGGAGCGTGTGGAATCGACAGAGGCACTTGTCGTTCGTGGAGCAATCGCCCGTCTGTGTGCCGGGGTTGAAGTACAAACTATCGGATTCAAACCAGCAGCCCGGGGGGTCGTACGAAGCAGAGCCCTCTTGGACCGTTGGGGTGACGTCGGCATCTGAATACCCGTTTAGAAAGGGGCGAAGCTCATGAGCCGCCTGTGCGCATTCGAACGCGCTCGTAATGCGCGCGCGCCCTGGGACGTCATTACAAGTCCCGCTCGTCACGAGTACGTAGCTGTCCAAGACGGAGCACTTGACAGAAACGCCGGCGTTTGCCACGAAGTTGTCGGAATCCCAGTACGCCCAGGTGGAAGCCTGCTGCGGGCACTGTAGCTTGTTGTCGAGGGAAATGATGCCCGCTGATGCCGTTGCGTAGTCACGGCCGATGTACCAATCGGTGGATTCGGGCCAGTAGTAAAGGTAGCTGGACCCCGACCCCTGTTTGTACACTGGCATGCCGCCCTGCGACACCCCGGGCACGACGGTGTAAACGTCCTCCCGGCTGCCCTGGTTGCTGGAAGCAGCGCCAGAGATGCTGACAATCAGCGAGCTGCAACACGTTTCCGAGCAGCCATAAATGTCGCGGAGCTGGCGCGCGTCGGTCAGGGAGAAGCCACCTGTCCGCCGTCCGATATTTGCATTCGGGTCGAGGGGTGTGATTGCGTTTTTCGACGGATCGATGGCAAAGCCTCCGACCGCCCCATAGTGCATCAGGCTGTTGTAGTCGTACGGCAGGTGGGTGGCATAGTCGTAATCAATTTCGTAGGCGTACTTCCATTCGGGGTCGATATTTTCGAAATGGATGGTCACGTAGTCATCACGGTCGGGGCGCTGGTGTGTATGCCCGAGGCCCAAGGCGTGTCCAATCTCATGGACGATAACACCCAAATGCGTGTCGTCATTGCACCACCCCATGTTGAGCTTGATCCCCTCGCCGTCCCAGGGCGACGCCACGTGGCAGCTGTCGTCATCGTACCGGCCGACCGTAATCGCCGAATGATCGCATACATACGTGCGCACGAAAGTGAGGCAGAAGCCGAGTTGGTTGATCTCTACTTCGGCACGATTGACCGCCTTCTCAAAGGCGCTCCGGCGGGTTGAATCGGCACTCCCGTCGAAGCAGTAGTAGACCTCACCTCCGTTGTGTACGATGGCGTTGGAGTGGATGTCAGAGTATGGCTCAACCAGACGATTCAGTCGCCTGCCGGAGCCTGCGTGAGCGCCGTCCTGCTTGTGGTGAGGCACACCGAGCTCGTCGTCGATCTCATCTTGCGTGAGCCAGAGACCGGTGGCAATCATGTCGGCAGTGGACATACGATCGACCACCGCCGTCATCATCTCGAGCCGGCTCGGCGGATTGTCGACAGAGGCGGGTATATTGAGGCGCGTGTACTCGTCAGCAAAATGGTCAAGGATCTCGGACCCATGGTCAGAGCCATGTGTAGCGCCAGCAAGACATGCGAGAACGGCGTAGAGGCGCAACATGAGCTGTACGACGCGTTTGGGAAACCAGTCGTTTGCACCTGTGAGCGAAGCGAGGTTCTGGTGAGCATACTCAGAGAGAGAAGTATGAGGTAGTGGGCCAGAGTTGATCATCCCGCTACAAGAGCTGCGTAGCGCATGGGAGAGTCGCGGGGCGGCCGGGTAGGTCGACCTGAAACGCTCAAGCAATTGGTGTGTGAGCCGCGAGCCGCGGCCGAAGACCAACTCGAAGGAGAGCAGACAGCGTGACAAGTCCATCCCTTTTTTGTCTTATCATTTTTTCCCGTGACAAGTGCCGCCCGTTCGAGAGATTTCTTTTGCATTTCGCTTGCGTGGCACAGTTGGTGGAACTGGCTCAAGTACTTCTTTGGTGACCTTTCCTTTTTTACCCAACTCACAGTAGCCATGTCTCTTTTCTTTATTATTTATTTGACCATTCTTCCGCTGTGTGATGCCAGATCGGTCAGTTTCGGGGACTCGCGCTGTCGCGGTTGCCGAGACGTCCCGACACGTGAGACCGGGGGCACGTGAGACGTGTGTGGCCCCCTCCAACCCCCCCGGATCCATGATGGTTTTAATGCCCACCATGCACCAATCTCGTTCGCACACTCGCCGACTGCCGACTCTCGCGCTCCCTCTACACAACCACTGTACCACTCTCGACAGTACCATACGTGATACGAGTCTTCACGCAGCCAGCAATTAGCTCGAGAACTTCGGCTCGACCTCCACAATCTTGAATGCCCGCGATGGTGTGTGCCTCGCGCCGTCCCGTCGGGCTCAGGAAGGGCAGTGGCGGGTAGCACCACTCGGCCTCGCCGGGGAAGCAGCTCAGGAAGCTCAGGTTTGCGCCGCGGTCGATAAACCTGGTGGATTTTGGCGCCTCTTGGGACGCCAAGCTCGCGAGTGGCAAGCTGCGCCTCGCCGCGGCGCGCCACCTGGCCAGGCCCGAGGTGCTGCGCCGAGTCGTCCGCCGACCACACGACACCGTCGACGCACGGACCCTCGGCTGCAGATGCAGCGCTTGTCTGTCGTTCTCCACACCGCCGTGGCGTGGCAGACGGTGAACGAGCTAGCGTGCGGGGAGATCGGCATTGTGCACGGAACTAAGTGCATTGCCGTTCTTAACGGAGTCGCTTAGGCGGCTCCAGTGGTGTGCCTGTGATAGTGCTAGCACGCGCCAGTTCGCACCTGTGTCGAGCCTGTCTGCTGTGAGAGAGAGAGTTGTTTTGTTTAAATTCTACTTTGTGAAATTCTACTTTCGCTCATCAGTGCGCAGCCTATGGATTCGCGGGGCGCTTGTCGTCGGCACGGCCGCGTGGCGGTGGGCGGGGAGGGGGGTGCGGGGGCGGCTGGGTCGAGTGGCTCCCCTCACCGGGACAGTCGCCGGGGCCAAGATCGGCGAGACGGAGCGAAGGCTAAAGGCGTGCTGTCTCCTTCGACAGCTTTGCCCAACCTTCTCACCGCAGAAGAATTACAGCTGGCTACTCGGCGCAGGTGTTTTTCTTCTCGATGGCTGCCCGCTCGCCCGCAACCGCTCCCGCCCGGCCCTCCGCGGCGCTGCAGCGGCTCCTCTCCGAGTCCCCGCCGAGGCCGCCGCAGCGGCCGTCCGAGCTCGCCCTGATCAAGCAGACGCTCTCCGACCTCCAGCTCCACCGCGGCGGGACCGCCAACGACGAGACGCGGCAGCTCATCAGCTGGCTCTACGAAAAGGTCGGCCTGCTGCAGCGCGCCTTCCACTCGCTGTCGGACGTCCTGGTCGAGGAGGTGGACGCGCTGCGCGTGCGCGCGGGCGCACACGAGGCGCTGATGGACAGCGTCATGGCCCAGGCCGCCGAGGTTGCGCTGATCAAGCAGGAGGTGGCGCTGCTCTCGCAGGCGCACCCGGGCAGCGCCACGCTCGCATCGCAGCTTGCGTCGCAGCTCGCGGCGGCGCGCGCCGCCGAGGCCGCGCTGCGGGCCGAGATGCGATCGCTCGCCGACGAGAATGACGCACGGCGGCACGAGCAGGCGGCCTCGCGGACGGCCGCAGAGCGCGAGGCGGGCCCTGCGCCTCTCTCTCTCTCTCTCTCTCTCTCTCTCTCTCTCTCTCTCTCTCTCTCTCTCTCTCTCTCTCTCTCTCTCTCTCTCTCTCTCTCTCTCTCTCTCTCTCTCTCTCTCTCTCTCTCTCTCTCTCTCTCTCTCTCTCTCTCTCGCTCGCTCGCTCGCTCGCTCTCTCGCTCTCTCGCTCTCTCGCTCTCTCGCTCTCTCGCTCTCTCGCTCTCTCGCTCTCGCTCACACACACACACACACACACACACACACACACACACACACACACACACACACACACATGGGACGTCACGGTGCGGGACACGCATAGGCGCGCGCCGAGAGGTCGCAGCGCGCCAAGCTGGAGGAGCGGCTTCTCGCGCTCGAGCAGCGCGTGGGCGAGCAGGTGTGTCCACTCTGCCCTAGCCCTAGCCCTAGCCCTCCCCGAGCTGAACCGAGTGCGAGCAGGACGCGCGCACGGACACGCACTCACGCACTCACACGCACACACGCACGCACGCACGCACGCACACGCACACGCACACGCACGCACGCACGCACGCACGCACGCACGCACGCACGGCCGTGAGTGGACCTGCCCTCACCCTCACCCTCACCCTCACCCTTGGCATGTCCCGTTAGGACGCGCTGCTCGAGGAGCAGGCCTCGGCGCTCAAGCGGCTGCGGTACCGTCTGCCGCAGGCGCTCGTTCCACACTGTTTGCCGAGAGCGGTCCATCCTATCGAGAGACCATTCAGCGCCGTCTGATGCAGGCGCTCGAGCCACGCGCGGAGGAGGAGGAGCCGCCGAGGCTCGACCCCCGCTGCGGCGCCTGGCGCGAGCGCGTCCGGGATTGCTCTTGCGCAGCGGCGGACGCGGAGGGCGGGTGTTGCGGCGGTGGGCCGAGCGGCGGCGGCGGCTCCGGCGGCGGCAGCCCGAGCGGCGAGTGGCGGTGGGGCGGCGGAGAGGCGGGGCAGCGCGTGCGGCAGTACCGTGCCCCACCCTGAGCACATGCACCCCGCCCTCGACGACGGGCGCGGGACGGAGATTGGTTATGTGTGCTTAGCGCTGCGCTCGAAGTGAGAAAGAAAAGAGAGAAGAATATCGGGGGCCACAAAACGTCATAGCACTAGGGGATCTCCCCCCCGGGGAGTCCTTCCTTTTTCGTTACGTTACTTTAGCCGTTTAGCGGGCTGGCGAGCCCGAGCGGCATCATCCAGCAAGAGCAACAAAAGAGGGAGGAACACCGAACACTCAACACAATACAGAATACTGAATCCACACATGTGCATGCACATGTGCGTGCATTCAAAGTGGGGGGAGGTCCGCGCTCGGCTCCAGCCTCCACAACGGCCCCGTCCCCCGTGGTGCGTGGATGCGGGGTGGGGTGCCTTACTTTAAAGCCGTAGTGGCACGCAGCGGCGCTGCTGTGGCGCCGAAGCGGGGGAGATGCCAGCGCCGGCGTAAAAGGCGAGCGGCCTCGGGCCAGAGGGGCGGGTCCGGAGCTTGGGCGGCACCAAGGGCGATGAGGAGGAGGTCCGCGGCGAAGGCGGCGGCAGCGAAGGCGGCGGCAGCAAAGGCGGCCAAGCGCGCTCACGTTCGTTGTCGCCGTCGCAGCTGGAGTCATCACTGTCCTTGCTGAGGGTGCCAGCAGCGCGAAGGACGTAGCGGAACTCGTCCTCCGCGTCGGACTGCCCAAAGGTGAGCACGCTGCCCTCACGTAGCTGGGCGCTCGCCACCTCCTCGGCCGTAGACTGCAGGACGACCGGCTCGCCACCCGGCTGCTGCACGCGGCAGCCATACTTGCGCGAGACGTCTTCGAGCCGGACGCTGCGGCCGTCTGCGGCGACGTGGAGCGAGGCGTGGAAACGCGAGACGCGCTGCGTATCGAATTGCGGGACAAGGGCAACGCCGCTCGACGCGTCGCGACCGACTGTCAGCGTGGCGCCGGGAGGCAGCGCGATCGGCGACGGCCGGCCTGCGCGAGCCCCGTTGACCCCCGCATCCAGCGCTAGCTCCAGCGGCCAGCGTGCGCTCCAACGGCTCGGCGAGGGGGACAGCGCCGGCGACGACGACTGGCTTCCGAGCCGCGATAGCTCTGCGCTTAAGTGGTGGATGTCGCGGCTCTGCTGGCTGATGCGCGAGCGCTGCGACTGCACCCTGCTGCGCAGCTCATCAACAGTGCCGTAGACGTTTGGCTCGGTGGAGACGGAGATGTGCAGCAGGAGGCAGCACGCGTCGATCCGCGTGCCGCTGGGCGAGCGCAGGTGCAGGCAGCGGTAGCCGCAGCGGAGGGAGCCGAGCATCGCGGTCTCGTACGCCACCAGCCGCCCCTCGTCCTCCACCACCACCCGGAGGATGGTCTGGTGAGGCTCGGCCGCGAGGCAGTGGAAGGTCTCGTCAAAGGTCGGGTTGAGGCCGTTGCCCTCCGCGACCGCGGTGACGAGCCGGGTCACGCCCTGCGCCTCGGGCGGCGGCTGCGGCTCGCGCGCGATGGCGTGGAAGCCTCCGATGGCGTGCAGCTCGACGCAAACGCGCGGGCTCGACACGCTGGCGCGGGCCCCGCTGGGCGGGCGGGGGCTGTCGCTCAGATGCGAGACGAAGGCGTGGTGCGGCTCGGCGAGGAGGGGCCGGCACTCGTCCCGCGTCGGGAGCTGGTGCAGGGAGAGCACCTAAAGGCGGTGGGTCGCTCGGTGAGCTGTCCAGAGGGAGGGCCGGCGGGGCGGCACGAGTGCGCGCCCTCAGCTCCGTCCGATGCACCTCCTCCCGCGGCGGCGGCCACAGCTTCTCCCGCCCTGTCACGGAGTTGCCGCGTGATGGCCTCTGCAGGAGTGCCCTCTCCACAGAGGAGCGGCGGCCCAGGCTGCTCTCACCCGACAACAGATCACTGCCAGAGCCAAACAGCAAGCGGGACGGGGTCAAGGGGCTCCTGTTGGGCCAGCTCGTCGCCGTCCTCACCTCGGGCGCCATCAAGTGAACGGGGGGCGCGATCGCCCGATCGGGCGCACGGAGCGCCGCGGGTTTGAGTACATAGCCGCCGCTACCGCGAAACAGGGCGTCGTGGATCTGCACCGGCAGACCGAGGAGAGCGTCGTTCGTCTGCAGGTTGAGAGCCACCATCTGCACGCCCGCGCGCCAGGCCGCCTGTGGCGGGGAGGTGGGGGAGGCAGTGTTCGCTTGGCTTGCAACGAGATGTGGTGCGGGGGGTGGTGGGAGCGAGGGGGCGGGCGCGCACGAGTGGGCTGTTGTTGCTCGACCACCACCGGGTTGGAGAGGGGAAGGTTCGCACGAGCTGCGAGGCCGTGAGGGGCAGCCACCCTCCCTGCTCGCTCACCAGCCGCTCCAGCCGCTCCTCGGACAAGCTCACGATACCGCGGCGCGGCACCCTGGCGCCCGAGAGCTCGCTCGTCGGTTCCTCCGCTATCGACGAGCCGCGGTGCAGGCAGGTCGAGCTTAGAGACCCGAGGGAACACTCGGACATCTGCGTGGCCCTGCTGTCGCCGTCGCGCTTTGAGCGGAGCCAGCCCCAGACGCCCCGGTGGAGGGAGCGGCCGCTGAGCTCCTTCCAGCTCGCCATGCGGCCGAGCCGCCTGCCGCTGTCGTCCTCCACGGGCGGCGACGAACCGATGGAGGCCGTGGGCAGCGTGACGAGGTCGCGGAGGCTCTCGTCCGTGGTCACCCCTCCCTTGTCGAGCCGCATCTTGATGAGGACCTACAGTCGAGATGTGCCCGAGATATGCCCCAAGGTGTGCCCGAGACCCCCTTAGCCGCATCTTGACGCCTTCCGGTGCAGATCGCGGAGGGGCGTGCTCGCGGCGTGCTCGCTGCGGGAGAGCAGGTCGCCGAGGGTATTCACGAGCTCCTTGGCGATCTTCTTCTGCTGCTTCGCCGAGCAGTGCATCTCAATGCTCAGGATAACGGGCAGAGGGCTAGAGGTGAAGGCGTGCTCGGCGATCGCAGCGACCACCTCGCCGAAGGCTACGCTTCCGCAGAGGAGAGAGACCCCGCCCGGCATGCGGTGAGTGACGCGCGGGCCCTGGCCACACCACCGCCCAAAGGTGGTGGGGTCCCAGCAGTCGATCTCGAGGCAGCGAGTCCCCGAGAGCAGGAGGCGGCGGTACATGTCGGCAGACACGGCGGAGGTGAGCTGGTCGCCCTCGAGGAAGCTGTTGTGCGACGAGGCGATCCAGTAGCTGGTGAGCGGCTCGGTCGCGTCCTCCGTCGCGCTCCTCTGCTCGATGGCGCTGTTGCACGGCGAGAGCAGGAGGGAGGCGAACTCGTGCACCGAGATGGGCTCAGACTCGTGCACCGAGATGGGCTCTGCCTCGGACGACCCCCTCGCGCGAGGATCGAGCAAGCTCCTCAGCGCTTGCCTCGAGGCAGAGTCGCGGTGGACTGACGCGTCGCGGTGCCTCTCCTTTGACCGGAGATCACAGAGAGCGATCTTCCACTCCTCCCACAGCTGGCGCCCTCCGGCGCCCTGCTCGTTGAGGCAGAAGCGAAGCAGGTCCCTCATCTTCAGCGTCGCGCGGGACTGCTCAACGAGGGGCGCGGAGATCGTCCGCAGGAGTCTCGGCGCCTCGAGGTCTGGAGAAGCCTCGCAGCCGTCGTCATTGCAGCTGCGCTGAGTGCAAGCTGCGGTCCCGCCCCTCGAGAGCAGCTTCTCGACACACGCCTCGATGAAGGGCGTCGTGTTCCGCGTCACGTGGAGGTATGCGCGAAGCTGCGCAGCCTCGCGCGCGGCCGTCCCCCACAGCCTCTGCTCCAGCACCGAGGCCCACAGGCGCTGCTCGACAAACGGGCGCCGCTCGATGTCGGGAGGTCCCTCGGCCGGCTCCTTGTTGGCCCTGCGGCAGAGCCGCTCCCACACGACGCGAGGCGTGGCGGTAGGACGCAGGAACGGCGTCGTCCGAGCCCAGCTGCACGCCCGCCGCACCGCTCGTGCGCAGCCGACGCAGAAGCGCACGGGAGCGCACCGTGAGATGCGCCTGCGGAGCAGCGTCCACGGGTTCGTTCCGTGGGACGCGGCGATGCGCGATAGCGGCGGTACAAGCCGGCCGACGGGTAGGCAGCACAAGCACAGCATCAGGCCGACGGACGCCAGGACGCCGATGATTACCAAGAGATAGGGGGGGAGACCGTTCTCACCGTCCTCAAGAAGAAGCGGCGGGGGCGGGGTCGACGGCGGCAGTGGCGGTGGGAGCGGCGGCGGAGGCGACGCGTCAAAAGGCGGCTCGACGTTTCCGAGGTTGAAGATAACGCCGCTGCTCTCGCGCGATCCGCCGTCCCAAGTGCACGTGCCGTTGTTGAACTGCGCTACGCGTTTCTCGGAGAAGCCGCCTTGGTCGCGCAGGTTGAACAGGAGAACGTTCGCATTGCCCCTGTCGCCCTTCTCGTCGAACTGCACGCGCCCAGTAAGGCCATCAAAAGACAGACTCTTCTTGGACGCCCAGAACTGCGTGCCAAATGAGGCTGGCACTTTGCCCATCGGGGCCACCTCGCACGCCAGCAGCCCTGCCGCTATGATAGCATCGTAAGCAAACGCACCGCCATTGCGTAGCACTGTACTCGTGTGTGGATCGACGGTGCTGAAGAAGTCGCCGCGGATCTGCCAGTCGGCAGGCAAGGACGGGTTGAAGTCTCCGGGCTCAAGCGTCGCCCAGCGCTCGTTTGCGAACTTGGTCCACTGCAGGTTGCCGTCGGTCGCACCGACCGCCTTGATACTCAGGCTGCCGTTCAGCGCGGCCCGCGCCTTCTCGCTCAAATCGTCCAATTGCTCCGGCACGACGCTGTCAGCGAAGACCCAGGAGACGCCAGCTCGGAGCAGGCCGGTGTCGAGCGCAACTTCTACGATAAATTCGAGCACTGGTTTGGAAGCAAGGACTAGCACTGCCTTGGCTCCGCTCTCGCTCAGGCTGGCGACAGCGGAACGAATCGATTGCTGGCTGCTTGAGCCCTCAAAGAAGTCAGGGATATCTCTGGACAGAAACGTTAGCCCGAGGCCAAGACACGCGTCCTTCGCTGCCTCCTCGTAGGCGCGCCCGTACGTGGTCTGCATGTAGAGCACCGCCACAGTCGAGAGCCCAAGCTCGTCCTTCCAAAAGGAGCAGAGGTCTGACGCGGGAGCTAGGCTCGAGGGGATGGTCCTCATGAAGCGCGGAAAAAGAATAGGGTCGCGCAGATCGGTAGAGGTTGACCAGTACGAGATCTGCGGGATGTCGAGCGCACCGGTGATGGCCGCAGTGGTGGCGGTGACAGTGCTACGAACGGCTCCGATGACCACGTCTGTGCCAGACAAGTCTCCCAGCGCTCGGACCGACTTGGCAGCTGTGCCGCCGCTGTCGAGCAGCCGAAACTGGAGCTGCTTGTCGCACGCTCCCAAGGACCCAAGCACGGGCAGCGCAACAGCGTCTCGCGCGTTGAAGTCCGTCACTGCCGTCAAGGCGGCCGCGACGACCGCCTGCATCGGCTCTGCAAGCCAGCACGTGCCGTTGACCCACTCGGCGACGCAAGTTTCGGCCGACGTGAAGCGCGCGTCCGACTGATAGGTGAGAATGGCGAGGTTCACATTCACGGAAGCGAGCGCTGGCAGCAGTAGCGACAGCATGGATGGGGGGCGTTCAGGGCCGCCAGCGCTGCGAAAAACGCGAGCACTGTCCTGCGCCCGAGACGCTGCTCCTCGGGGAAGGGTACTTACAGACGCGGATGGCGACTCACTCGTAACACGGCTGTCCGTTTTCTTTCTTTCTTTCTTCTGGGACTGTGAGAGAGAGTTCTCGAGGTTCTCGAGGTGGATATCCTTTGGCCGCGTTGGGTAGCGAGGGTTGTTTTGTTTAAATTCTTCTGGGCACGGGACTGGCGCGCACTGGCACTAACACAGGTGCCACGAAGAAGAATTTTACAACAACCAGGCACGACATTGGGCACGGTACTGGCGCGCACTGGCACTAACACAGGTACACCAGAAGAAGAATTTTCGAATGGGGCGCACTGGCACTAACACAGGAAGTCGCGACCGGCCGTTTAGTGGCGAGCGGCGGGCGGAGCGAATCGGCTCCGTCCGTCCGTTCGAGAGGGAAGAGAGAGCGCGGCACACTTGCCACAGCCGCAGCACACGCTGCCGGTAATCCTCAGGATTACGAGGTGAAGAGACACATGCAGCAGGCCGACCTTTTCGTAGAGCCGATGAGCTGCCGCGTCTGGTCGTTGGCGGTCCCGCCGCGGTGGAGCTGGAGGTCGGAGAGCGTCTGCTTGATCAGGGCGAGCTCGGACGGCCGCTGCGGCGGCCTCGGCGGGGACTCGGAGAGGAGCCGCTGCAGCGCCGCGGAGGGCCGGGCGGGAGCGGTTGCGGGCGAGCGGGCAGCCATCGAGAAGAAAAACACGGCGCCGAGTAGAGCGGGCGTTCTGCAGTTAAGGAAAGCCGATTACACGGAACCAACCCTCGGAGACCCGTGTTTACTGTACGGCCCCCTCCCTGCGACCGCGCACCCCCCAGGGTCAGGGCTCTTCTCTAGCCCGAGCCCGCAGCCCGATCTCGAGCATCTGTGGCCAGCTGGGTTGCGCTTCTTAGCTCCCGGCCCTGGGTGCGAGGCTTATGACTGCACTCCAAGTGCTCCAAGTGTACCCAGGGCCTGAGGAGGCGGTGAGAAGGTCGGAGCGTATTCTGTCGAAGGAGACAGCACGCCTTTAGCCTTCGCTCCGTCTCGCCGATCTTGGCCCCAGCGACTGTCCCGGTGAGGGGAGCCACTCGACCCAGCCGCCCCCGCACCCCCCTCCCCGCCCACCGCCACGCGGCCGTGCCGACGACAAGCGCCCCGCGAATCCATAGGCTGGCGCACGGATGGCGGCGACGAGCCGGCCCATCCCGCCGCGGGCTGCGCCGGGGTCCAAGAGGCCACGGACGTGGGACGTGGACGTGCGTCGCGCCCGCCCTGCCCGCCACACACCACGCCTGAGCCCCCTGGCGCATGACTCGGCGCTGAATCTCTCCCGCTCCACTCAGCCGGCGCCCGCTCTGGCGCCAGCGCTGCGCAGACCTCCCAGCCCGCCAATTTGAGACTGCTCGCCTCGCCACCCGATCGCAACCGACGCCTGCCCGCTCCCTCTCTGCACGGACCGCAGGTCTCGCTCGACGAGCTCGTCTCATGGGACGTGCTCGAGCAGTTCATGCAGGACATCCCGAGCGAGCCTGCGCTGCCAGACGAGCCCAGCACAGAGGCGCAGGCCGTGCAGAGCGCCGCGGACGGCCTTGGCGTGGGCGGCTTCCCGTTCGGCGGAGTGATGGGACTCGGCGGAGGCGGAGCGAGCTCCGCGGGGCTCGCCGGCTGGCCGTCGGGGCCAGGGCTGGCGGTGGGCGCCTGGGGCGGCGACATGGCGGCAGAGGCGACGGGCGGCGCCGAGAGCCCGGCGGCGGCGGGCAGCAGCAGCGCAGAGGGCGGTCGGCAGGTGCACAAGCAGCGGTTCGTGTGGACGGCGGAGCTGCACCGGCGCTTCGAGACCGCGGTGAACACCCTTGGCATCGACCACGCCAAGCCGCAGGCCATCTCCCAGATGATGAAGTGCGAGGGCGAGGGCGCGCCGACGCGGCAAAACATCAAGTCGCACCTGCAAAAGTACCGGCTGCTGATGCAGAAGCGCGGCAAGGCGGGCGCGTCGGCCGGGACCTTGATGGCCACGCTCACCCCCTCGGCCAGCTGCGCATCCCTCGCCGACCAGGACGAGCCCTCGACGAGCGCCGACACTGGCCTGGTGGCGGCGGCGGCGGCCGCCGCCTCAGCCGCGGTGCCAGGGAAAGCGGCGGCGGCGCCGCGGCCGGCGGTCGAGCGCGATGGGAGCGATGAAGCGTCGGTCTTCTCGCGGGCCAGCAGCGGCAAGCTGCCCTCGCTGGGGCCGT